AGCAGTGTTGGTCAAGTTACCTGAAAAAAGTAATCAGATTACAGTAACGCGTTACAAGTAACGCGTTACTGTAATCTGATTACTATTTTGCACAGTGATTCTTGTAGATTTGATGTGGATGGCATGCCTGGGATTATTGTCATGTTTTTTGGCCCAGTTTTAGCTGGCTTCACATTAAGAATACTTTGGTATACAGAGGTTTCAGTAACGGGATTGTGCCGATATCCCGTTCTTCAAATCAAGGCAAAATCATCCTCATTGTGCTCGACTGTTGGTTTGAGGTGTTTTGGTTAATATGTGGTTTCCTTTTGCCCGACTGATATAGGAAGACTGATGCCAATAAATTCAAACTTTAAAAGCCAATATTCTAAATCAGAATACTGATTGATTTAGATATGCAAAACATGAACAAATTTCTCTAACGGTTATTATGTGTAGTTATTTATTTACTTGTTTACGCTTTGCCTGACTGTTCAGATGAGCAGGTTGTTACGTTTGTAGCATTCCACACGCGTTACCAAGAAGGAAGCTGCAGAGTGCCCTCTAGTGGACAAATAATGCAACTTAGGATGTTACAAGTTGAACGGTATTTCTCGCAATCTCTTCTTTACATTTTAAGACGTACATTATTAGCAGTTACATATATTGATGCTGATAGATGGCAAATAGATAATTTTAGGATCCACTATGTACCCGCTGGTTTTTATATTTTTAATGCTGTCTGAATGAGAGTGTACTTTCTTTTCCCCATGACTGTATCGCAACTATGAATTACAAGCTTTACCCCCCTTACTAGGGATGGGTATCGTTTAGGTTTTATCCGATACCGGTGCCAAATCGGTACTTTTGAAACGGTGCCGGTGCTTAAACGGTGCTCGAACCGGTGCTTAAAGAATGGAGAACACAAAATTGGTCCAAAAACCTCTCATGTTCAGCTGTTTTTTTTTGTAAAAAGATAACAATGTTAGCCTTTTCTGCAGCTATGTGGCATATATGGCATCACTCTTGGCTGGAAGCAGGGCTTAAACAATGGAAAAAACACAAACTTTGTCCAAAACCTCTCATGTTCAGCTGTTTCCCACTTTAGGGGTTAGGGTTAGGGTTAGGGTTTAGTGTACGTGACAAATAAAATTTGAATTTGAATTTGAATTTTTCTTTGGTCATTTTAGCCTTTGTGGCCAGGGTGAAGGGAGTATCTGCCATCAAACAAGAGGACAGCCTCATGTAACTATGATGATGTTTGCTAGTTCACCTTACATGCATTAATGTAATAACGTGGTTAGCCTACTCAACGTAAATTACACACGAACAACATGAAGCTACTCACGCAGAGAAGAACGGCTGCTGCTGCATCATCATCCGTCAGCATTTCTGCTACACTGGCAGGGCTAGGGGCCAGGACTCTCCTCTTCGGGTTTTTGGGGGATGTTGCTCCGGGTCCGATAACTGGCAACCCACCCGACGTGCACGGTGTGAGGTCTCGCAGCAAGCTATCAAATACGGCGCATTTCTCGGCTTTTAAAAAAAAACGCTATGCGTCGCCAGGTGTTTCATCGGATTCGAGGTGTTACCTCCTTTGACAGTATCACAGTATCAGCTTAAAGCACTTGTTGCAGGCTGTTAGTTTGCATATTTTGCTGTGAAGTACAGCCAGACTTTTGACCGCTTCGCCTTGGACATTTTTAATCTGTAGCTCTGCTCTAACAGAACGTACGTACCTGGCCCCGCCTACTATCCTCGGAAACGTAAAATGATTGGCTAGAAGTGTATCACAGCTCAGGAAAAAAAAGCACCGAAATAAAGCACCGAAATGTGCGCTGCTTTTCGGTCTGGTTACTACCGTTTATGTCAGGATGGCACCGGACACCGGTACCCATCCCTACCCCTTACCTTTCCGTGCCTTTTTCCATTTTGTTTTTCACGCCACTTGCCTTGCTTTAAGCCTTGCCTTAATTACCTTGAGGAAGCTGGTGTGATTTCGCACCATATAAATAACATTGAATTGAATTGAATTGCCTCCCTCAGCCTCTCAGTTGATGTGAGAAGCACATTGTCACTGTGTCCAAACAAACTTTTACACGAGTTTACAAAGCGCAATCAAACAAAACAGACGAGTGCATTTTGGAACTGGCCTTTGTTCATGCAGAAATGTTGGCAGAGATCACTTAGACTTGGACACAGCTTCAGTTCTTCTTTCTCTGTCCTCACTCCCTCCCCCTCTCCAGCCTGGAAACTAAATGAACCAGTCATATTATGACAAGCATTAAACCATGAGATTTGCTTGAAATAGTGTTAGGAAGTGCAATAAAAACAAAGCTGAGGGTTCAGCGAGGACAACGTGACTTCTGTGCTATTCTTAAACCACTTTATTTACGCATTTACTGGAAGCTGCATTTATAAGGCCAGGACACAATGCTTGTCTAGACTCCCATTCATGCGCCATCTACAGTAGCCTACATTTGGTAAAAATGCAGTGCAGTTAAGGTCAGTAGAATAAAAGTCTGAAGTCTAGTCGAGTCTATGGAGTTTCATTTTTCACAGTTTAAGCTTTGTGATTGCATCTTGTGGTTTAGCACGCTCAGAGAGAGGGATGTGCACCTGCCAAACTAGTCAAAACCACCTTGTGGTAGTCTCTTGCTACAGCAGGAGTCCATGAGGACATTTGATGATGCTAGTGATATGATATCATTGACATCATATGATGTCATGCACACACAAACTAAACACAAAATAACCGCTCGAGTACTATGTACTTTCTATCTGATATTTAAACACCAATGGATACATCAGAGAGCAACACGAGGTCAGGATCTTGCATGCAGACCGGAGAAGCTAGGCACCGAACCACCACCTTTCCGATTAGTCACTGACTTACTCTACAGCCACCCCAATAATACATCTTTAGAATGACCTAATTGTGTTGTTTATGTCATTCAAGCAGTTACTACAAAGACAGAGTTCCAGTTTGCAAATGCTTTTTCGAAGCTGGAAACTATATAAATGATTTCCCACCAACACAGCGGCCCATATATTACACATATGTACTCTTTTTTATGGCCTCCCTTTAAATAAACATAGTATAGGGCTCTGTAACTAGAGGAGTGTCATGTCTGGTGCATTTCTTGTTCTTGTTTTTCTGTATTCCCTGAAGAGCCTCTCTCTTTAACACCATGTGGGGGGCGACCTTAGTAAACAGTGCAAGAGACAAGAGGAAAGACCTACCTGTACCTAAGAGGAAAACCTCTTAGCAAAATCACAGTTTCAGATGCTAGCAGACAGGCTGGTCACACTATGCTCAGAGTTTTACATTTGATACTGAACAGAAGTATATGTTTGTGCAGAGCAGCGGGTCTCATGCTAATATACAGGAACTCACAAAGACATCCGTTCATTGAGTGGAAGGTATATGTGAAGGTCCTATGGACCTGTCTCTTGATAGTTATTGTCTGAACTCTCTTATCTGACATTAGAAATTAAGGTGCTGTGTTCATTTTACTAAAGCTGAAAGGTTCTTCTAAGTGTAAATAATTACCAGCTTTCCTTTTCGTTATGACAGACTTTCCAAAGTGTTCCTTTCTGAATTGGAGTAAATATGGCTGTTTTAAAGGTGCTGTGGCGGTTAGTACTGTTTCATCATAGCAAGAAGATCCTTGGTTCAGCTCCTGCCTGGGGCTTTTTGTGTGTGTGGAGCTTCCATGTCATGGTACTCTGGCTTTCTCCCAGAGTCCAAAGATATGGATGGGTCCGGTTAATTGGTGAGTGAAAGATAGGCAGCTTGTCCTGGATGTACCCTGTCTCTTGCCCTTTAACAAGCAGGAGGATATGGGTGGATGGCTTATTTGCTTTGAGATGAGGTTAGATGGTGTGCTTTGCTTGCCATTTATGTAAGCTAGGTAGAACATTATAAACTTAAATGTATTAACTCTCATCTGAGGCAAGTCTTGTTTTATTAAGCAG